GTGCTGGAGAAGAGTATTGAGAATACCATGGACTGCTAGGAAAACAAACAGATTTGTCCTGGAAAGGGTTAAACCGGGTGGCTCCTTGGAGGCAAGGATTCTGAGGCTCCATCTAACATACTTTGGACATGTTGTGAGGAGAGCCCGGTCCTTGAAGAAGGACATCATGCTTGGTAGGGTGGAGGGACGGCACAGGAGAGGAAGGCCCTCTATGAGGTGGATTGGGATAGGAGTGTCAGAGACAGTGCGATTGGCACAGGACAGAGCGGAGTTTAGGGCTGTTGTACATAGGGTTGCTATGAGTCGCAAGCGACTCAACGCCACCTAACAACAACAAATTTGATGCGTTATATCTAAATTTTAATCTCTAACATAAAACTTGCTTAATCGATGTTAATAATCATAATGTCCAGGTTTCATAATTTTAGTAGTAAGCCTGAACAATTGAATATTATGTCTTGATTATTTCGAGATGTATCTCATAATGAAAAAGTGTAAAACTTCACATTTTGTGTAAAAGTATGTTACCATATACTGGACATTTTGTTGTGGGTTCTTTTCAGAGCTCACTGAGAGCTGAGCCTTCAGGGTCATTTCAGAGGCTATATATTACATAGGAGGAGATTGTCCTTCTTTCTCCTTCAGTGCAGATGGTGGATTCAACCTGCTTGTCTTTGGGTTGGCAGCACAGCTCCTGACCACAAGGCTGCCAAAGCTCCCTATACTGTACATAAGTGTGTATATGTGTAGCCATATACATAATATGTCTTTGGAAAGATAACATAAAAAATTTATTATGGTGGCTTTGAAGGATGGGCTTAAGGAGACCAGTAGTGGTGATAAGACTTGTCCTTCTGGTTTTTCCTTGAAGAATTTTAATAGTAACTGATTTGAGACAGATTTAAGAGACAGTTCCATGTTGGTGTTATCTTCTCCGAATTTTGGCATCAGAATACCTAAACTCCCATTGCTTTAAGAATCCAATGTAATGGATTAGATGATGATTGAGACACTGGCTTTGGGAAATTTTGATTAGGTCATTTTGAATATATATGATTTCTAATAAGACAAGTTTTCACTTTAGTTAAACTTAAGGGCAGCAGGTAGGGTTGATGTCTAATAAAACTTTATTTTTTTTCATGACTTTTTTTTTTTTTTTCAGGGACACCAGGGGTTGGAAAAACCACACTAGGCAAAGAGCTTGCCTCAAGATCAGGACTGAAATACATTAATGTGGGTGATTTAGCTAAGGAAGGTAAGGACTACCTTGGTGTTAATTTTTTAAACTTGTTTTTCTTTTGTTTTAAGTGAGATATTGAGGGACTATGATGTGATATACTAAGAGTAATGGAGTATTATTAGTGCTATATGTCTGTTATGAAAGGGTCTAGAAAATAGACTAATTAAGGAACTTACGATCTGTTGAGAGTTCCCAGAAGTTAAGTATCTAATTAGTTAAGTATCTAATGCTGGGTCCTATTTGCCGACCCCTACCCACTCCAAAAAATGGCTGTTATTTCTTGAGAACAGAAATAATGAGACAGTGCTCGCTTTGGCAGCACATACACTAAAATTGGAACAATACAGAGAAGATTAGCATGGCCCCTGTGTAACAATGACATGCAAATAAGAATGAGACAGGTTCAAAGCTTTTAATTTCTTAAGTAGAATTTGAGGAAAGGGGCAGAATGTTTTGAGTTGGATGAACACTATTTCAAGTAATGTTTAGCATATATATTAGACAGTGAGGATGTTGATGTCTCTAAAAGGACAGATTATTTTGGCACAGGATAGAACAGCATTTAGAGCTTTTGTACATAGGGTCGCTATGAGTCGCAATCGACTCGATCGCACATAACAACAGGCAGTTGGACAGGATTTCTAGGATTAAATTGATAGTTATATTCCAGGTACCTAACAAGTTATATTTGTTTTATTTTGTCATTTTCTCTTAATATTTTATTATTTCTTATTAATGGCTTAATTTTTTACATTTTACTATGATTTCTGTAGAGTAGGAACTCAGTAAATTCAGGGTATTATAAGTGTACCTCTTTAAAATGGAAGAAGGTTAATTAATATATAAATTTTTTTATTTAATTCCTGACAGTTGATACTAAGGTAACTATTTCAGGTTTAATCTAACATATTTCTTTCAAATGATCTGAAGTCTGATCACCAGTTATCATGGAGTCTGGAAAGATGACTTCTCCCAAGAGCATGCCGAAAGATGCACAGATGATGGCACAAATCCTGAAGGATATGGGCATTACAGAATATGAGCCAAGAGTTATAAATCAGATGTTGGAATTTGCCTTCCGATATGTAACTACAATTCTAGACGATGCAAAAATTTATTCAAGCCATGCTAAGAAAGCAACTGTTGATGCAGATGATGTGCGATTGGCAATCCAGTGTCGTGCTGACCAGTCTTTCACCTCTCCTCCTCCAAGAGATTTTTTATTAGATATTGCACGGCAAAGAAATCAGACTCCTTTGCCTTTGATCAAGCCGTATTCTGGTCCTAGATTGCCCCCTGATAGGTACTGCTTAACTGCTCCAAATTATAGACTTAAGTCCATACAGAAAAAGACATCTGGTACTGCAGGAAGAATAACAGTTCCAAGGCTAAGTGTTGGTTCTGTTACTAGCAGACCTAGTACACCCACACTAGGTACACCAACCCCACAAACCATGTCTGTTTCAACTAAAGTAGGGACTCCAATGTCCCTCACAGGGCAACGATTTACAGTCCAGATGCCTACTTCACAGACTCCGGCTGTAAAAGCATCGATTCCAGCAACGTCAGCAGTTCAGAATGTTCTGATTAATCCATCATTAATTGGGTCCAAAAATATTCTTATTACAACTAATATGGTATCATCACAAAATACTGCCAGTGAACCATCTAATGCATTGAAAAGAAAACGTGAAGATGACGACGATGATGATGGTGATGATGATGATGACTATGATAATTTGTAATCTAGTCTTGATACATGTAACATACATGCTTGGTCTTAAATCTATTGTACTGAAATTAAACATGCATGCTGGATATTTTCAATTTGTCTTAGAAAACTATTAGCATTTAATGAGTGAATACAATTCTTTTCAATTGAGATGTTGGATTTTTTTTTACTAGAATTACAGCTTTTCATCAGCCTTTAAATGACAAAAATAAAGATGTCATCAATTTCATTGTTGGTATTTTGGAAATTCGTTTTTAAAAGCTTTCTCTTTTACCCTAAAAAAAAAAAAAAGCCTTCTTCCTATTTCTCTTCAAGAAGGGAGGTCCATCGTTTTGGGGATATAACTTTTTAATAAACCTGTCTTTACTATATTACCCTCCGGAAAAAAGTTTCCCCCTCACCAAGAGTTGCAGTCCATTGACATCATTGAAGTCTTACTGTCAATTATGTTACTTCTATTTTCTGTGTTGAAATCCTAGAACAATCTGACGTAGAATTCACTCTCGTTCACTTCACTCACACTTAGAAGTACAGACTTTACATCTTTTGGGAGAGATAGTTGGTCAGGATTTTTATTGCTTGGGATTCCCCCCCCAGTTTTCTAACTTTTCTGTACCTTTGGTTATATTTAAAGACCTTGAGTGTTTCTTAGTCTAATTTATAATTTTTAAAACATCTTTAGTTTTTCATTTACATAGCTAGATACTCTCCTCTCCGTAAGAAGTTTATTTATCATGTTTGAAAAACTATTATACTGCTTTTGCAAATAATTTCAGAATCCTAGGCAGCAGTACGATTTCATTTTCTAGTTAAAATCACTCCCACTAAGTTCATCATTTCTAAGTTTAAGTCTTACCATGAGAGGAATGACAACAAACCAGAAATAATCACTTCAAGATGCTTAATCCTCTTCCCATAGGCTTTCGCCTACATATACCATTTTAACCTAGTGATAGTGTAGTCTTCAGGATCTTTCTTGTAATTTATCGATAATATCTAATGGAATTTAAGCCTTCAGAATACTTGATTTCTTTCTTCTGTGGTGCCAAATAAGAGATTTCTAGTCCTACTTGATATGGTATTAGATGAAGTACTTCACAATTTTTTTCAAAATGTACAAAGTATTCTTCTGTCTGGGTAATACTTGAATATACTGTGAAAATCTTTTAGCGGAAAGTACTGAGGCACTCTTTTTTTGCTGTATTTTAAAGGAAATGGTGCACTTATTCCCAAAACTCAATTTCTCAACCAGATTTCAGAGATACTTGGTAAAGTCTAAAAACATCTTGGGTTGTCTAAAGAAGGGAGTGGTAAGAGGTGTTAGCATTTAGTAAATTGAAGCTAGGTATTTTGTTAAACATAGTTACTGTTTTGAGCTAAATACTGCAACCCACAAAGCCTAAAATACTTAAAGAGTCTCCCCCTGAAGAAAGTTTGCTAGTCCAGCTCTAACCTTTTCCTCAAATTTGCTTCTAATGTAAACCATTGAAACAACTTTTTCCATTTGCTTCTCTAACCCTGTATTCTGTCAGTCCTTGTGTCTGATTTGCTCCTCCATCTCTCAACATACTTCTCTCATGATTTATTTACCTTAGCCATCTTCCAGTCTGACCTTATTTCCGTTAATACTTAGGACTTCACTCCTTCGTACTAATTACACTGCATTCCATTATAGGCATTACTTATTTTATTGTGCTTCACAGATAAACTTTACCCCTCAATATGTTTAAGGTTTGTGGCAACCCTGTATCAAGTGAATCTGTTAGCACTTTTTCTAACAGTATACGTAAGTTTTATGTGTGTGTGTCATGTTTTGATAATTATTTCAGGCATTTTCATACTGCTCATATGTAGACTTATCCACTGCTAAGTGAAACTTGTGCTGTTTATATCTGGAGGAACACTCTTCCACTTTTAACATCACTTTGTCAGTGTGCAGTATGAAGTAACCTGGGTTGTTTTGATACTGAACCTTGTACCAATGGGGTATCAAATACCAGAATGACTTTCCAAAGTGGACAGTGTTTGATAGAACTCCCAGATGTAAAACAGGTTTGGAAGCAGGAATGGCATCCACTTCCTAAACAACATGCCTCTGGAAACTATGCCTTTCATCCTTTTTGTTCAGACATTCCTCTAGGTCGTATAGTCCTGGTGTACAAGTTGCTGTCCCAAGGTCACTTGTGGTTGCTGTGAGGCTGAATACTGTGACACGGTTGTGTCAAATTTGTTAATGGTTGGCTACCCAATGCGGACTGAGAGTGGGGTGGAGCTCCCCCTTTGAACAAGCGTGGAAGGAGGAGTGGCATCCACTTCCATAATAGCTTGCCTCTGGAAACCCTATGAACCTGGAGAGAGGATGAAAGGCACCCAAGCGTCAAGGACTCTCCTTCATAGGGTCGCTATGAGTCGCCTGCGACTTGACAGCACTTAACAACAACTGGAAACTATGAACTTGGTGAAATGATGACAGTTATGGAAAGGTATTAGATCTTTTGTTCATAGAGTCGCTATGAGTCATGCTCAACTTTACAGTAATCAACAACAACAACATGCAGACTATGATAGAGTATAAACATTTCAAATGCATTGGAAAACAAAAAAAAAGTTCAAGTCGCAGTGATTTGGAACCCACAGTTTTTCCAAGATATTCTTGTATAGTTAAAACTCAAGTTTCTAGATCTTTGACTGGACACAACCATCTGGGTATTACACAAACATTTTAAAATGTCTAAAGCACATGCTCGGAAATCCTCCTTTTCCCTACTTTTCTATTCTCCCCCTTTTGACCCTCCCTCCCCTCCTAAACATACAGACATTCTCCATTCAGCCAGTTGGTCTCTAAATCTTGATAGTTAGCTGAAACTCATAGTACTCATTCCATTCCAGGACCATTGCTGCTGGCCTAGAATGCCTACTTAATTTTTTCAGTATCTCTTTCCTTCTATTTCCTCATTTTCTTAAAAAAATAAAGGGATGCTAGAAATTGAACATTTATACAAGTCTTCCTCTGAAACATGGTCTATAAAACTGGCCCCAGTTTGCCACAGGTTTACTTGTAGCCTTACCTATAGCCTCTTCCCTCTATCTACAGTAGCCATCCTCAACCACCAGGGATTCCCATCGCCATGTCTTTATGCATGCTATGCCCTTGTTACTTTGTTACTATGCCTAGTTCCCTTACCTGCCTCAAAAGCTCAGACATCATACCTTGGTTCTAACTTCTCTAGGCACTACCTTCATAAAAGGCTAGATATTATCAAAGCACTCAATTCTAAACCAATAATCTGGCAACGTGCTACCAGCCCAAAGGCATTTGGATCAATTCTACCAACTGCTTTATGGGAAAAAGATGGATAGTCTCGTGTGATTTTACTGTCTCTGAAAACCCTTTGGAGGGTCAGCTGTGAGTCAGTTGCATCTTGACAGTATATTGTATTACAGTGATAAGGTTCTTAACAAATTGAGGTGGACTGAATGGTGTTTCCCAAAACTAAAAATGTGTTAAAATATTAACAGCAGCGTCAAAATTGGTGTCTAGCACCCCAGTATACTTCAAAAATATTCATGTAAGTAAATTCTGGGCAACTGTTAAACATGATTTTATCACTTGACTAATGAGTAATGAGCTATCTTTTCAGGTAAAAATAAACTGTAGCTCTGTAATTCTGGTGTTAATTGTAATTTTTCCCTACAGGAGGAAGTCTAAATAAACCATAGAGCCTTAGGAGTTGACTTTCATTTTTTGTACTTGAAAAGTAATCACCACATGACAGTTTTTTATTTCTCTTTTCCCCGCCTGTTATTAAGATATATGAACGTTGTTAGGTACACCCAGTTGCAGCCGACCCATGCTGATCCTCCAGTGGGTTGTCAGAGGCTATAAATCCCACTGGAGGAGACTGGTCATCTTTATTCCATGGAGCAGCTGGTGGATCCAAACTTTCTGTCTTTGGGTTTGCAGCACAACCTTACGACTAAGCCACTAGAGCTCCGTAAGATTTATGTATAGACAACTATGACTTGGGCTTTCAGTTGAAGCTTTAACCTTTTTCTTCCCATCCCTGTAACTATAACTAACTATAGACCACAGTCATCATTCACACTGGAGTTCTGCAAATTCTAGTTTTACAAAAAATTCTAGGTATGGTATCCCTGCTACTTGTGCCTGACTTACAAACTCATTTTCCACATAGAAAACCTAATTTTTAGAATTTTATGTTCTTTCCTCTTAAAAATGCTTCAATGATTTGCGTTAGGATAAATTCCTATTATGGCCTTTGGAAGCCCTTTTTGAGCTGTCCTACAGCTTAACCTGTCCAGCCTTCTAGCTCGTTATCACCACCTTACCATCTGTTTGCTATTTTGAAAGACATTCTCCCTGAAAGGGCTGTCCCTAGTCTGTTTGGGACATCTGGTTTTTTTCTGTTAGAATTCACTAGTTTTTGTCCTCTGCTCAAATGTGACTTTCCTCAGAGGGTCTTCACTGACAGCATGGAGTTTGTTAGATGCTCACCCTATTCAGCCCTATTCAGAGTTAAAACTGCCTTTGCTTTCAACCAACCTTCAGACTAATCTTGTGATGTTAGAATTAATGCTCATTTTAACCTAATTTCAACCTGTACCAGAAAAATGGAAAGCCTGCCATATGTTGTTAAGTGCCAGAGTTGGAACCGAGCCATAGGTGACCATTCAGCAGGTTTTCAGAGACCATTACTTGGGAGGAGATTGCCCCTCATTCTCCTGTGGAGCAGCTGGTGTCCTCAAAGTGCATGCCTTTGGGATTGCAGCGCAGCTGCTGCTGCTTTTTTTCTTTTTCCTGCCTCTTTTTAAACAGTCCCTCCGTAAGGACTATCCACTTAGCTTTGTATCCAAAGACGAAATTTGTAGGTGAAAGGAGTTAGCCTTCATTACAGACTGGTTAATTTCAGGGTCGAAAATATGGAACATTTCACGAATTAGCGTGTTATCCTTGCGCGGGAGCCATGCTAATCTTCTCTGTATCGTTCCAATTTTAGTATATGTGCTGCTGAAGCGAGCACGCAGCTTCTTTTTTAAAAAAATTTTTTTTTCACTGTTTGCAAAATTCTATTACAAATTCAATTTCCCTCACCCCCTCAATCAAATTGTACAACCCAGTGATCAATCCCCTTTTTCCACTGTACATCCATATCCCTCTGCTTGCAGCCTCTCCCTCCCTTCCTGGAACCTTATACTCATTCTACAATAATGGTCTTATACAATATTTATCCTTGTGGGACTGAGTTCACTCAGCATAATGCTCTCCTGTCCCTCCTAAGTTAGGTAATAATTTACAAAGTTAATTGCTCCTGCGGTAGCACAGCTTATTGCCACTAGGCCACCAGATGTCCCAAATATGTATTTTTACCAGTTGCTATAAAGTCAAATCAGGCTCAAAATGTATTTTCCATTGGATTTTTCATTGACTAGTTTTTCAGAAGATCACCTGGCCTGCATTGAGGTATCTTTGGGTGTGTTTGAGTATCTTCCTGGTTATCAGCTGGGCACACTGAGCCTATCTATACTCCAGGGGTTCTGAATGGAAGTGAGATTGGTGTGCCCTAACCCCCAAGGAAGATGTCCTTTGAAAGCTGGCTGTGATGTCCTGAGAAATTTTTGTTTAAATTTGCATTTATAACAGCTTATGAGTCATGTTTTTCTTTATGAATCAAAACACTGGGGAATGACTCTTTGGAATGCTTGAAATAAAAAATCAAAAGTACCGTTGAGGGACATCCACATACTGATGCTTCCTTCCTGAAAGATGGGACCTCAGTGGCAGAGATTAATTTCTGGAACCATAAGAAAGATCTGAATTTGATAAATTTCATATCCTTGGCCTAGTAAATGTGGAACATATTTTACTCTGTGCATTTGAATCTATCCAGTGTCCCATCTTGCCAGTTTGAAGCTCAGCAAAAACAATAGATTCTTTTATTAACAACTCCTCTAATTTCAAAATTACTGTTCTTTGTCATTTTCAGCATTGATACTGAAAACATTTCCACATACTTGTTCTTTTTCTGTCTAGGCAATGTTTTAATTTATGAATAAATACTGTTATTTATATTTGATGTCCATGTGACATTGGACTTCTGCTCTTCCTTAGCCTTAGGAATAACTGATGGTCATTTCCTTTAGCTTTGGAAAAAAGTCTAGCATTTAAAATTACCTAGTTACTTAGAATATACTAGTTTAACAAGCTAATGTAAATCTCTTTTAGGGCAGTTATATGATGGCTATGATGAAGAATATGATTGTCCCATCTTAGATGAAGACAGAGTAAGTATAATGTAATGAATTACACATTTATCGAGTATGTTATCGTGTTGCCCCTAATTCATGACAACTCTTGTGTACAAACAAAACACTCTCTGGGCCTGTACCATCATGATTAGTTGCAGATCAGACCACTGTGATCCATAATAGATTATCTGGCCTTCCTAGTCTAAATTTGGAAGCTCCACTGAAGCCTGTTCAGTGTCTTAGCAACTCCAAAGCACCACTGACAACTGGCAATGACTACACAAGAAGTTCATCCGCTGGGACTAATCTGAGTCAGCTGGAAGACAATTCCAACCCACAACCACGAGTGTCCCGTTTTATTGTTATAATAGGAACATTAACCGCAGTTTTCTTTTTTTTTACTCTTTCTCCCCTTTTTATAGGTAGTGGATGAATTAGAAAACCAAATGAAAGAAGGTGGAGTTATTGTTGATTACCATGGTTGTGATTTCTTTCCTGAACGCTGGTTTCATATAGTTTTTGTGCTGAGAACAGATAGCCATATATTGTACAAAAGACTTGAAACAAGGTAAGAAAGGAGAACTGTTGAATTGTGAATTAATGCTTAAAAACTTTTACTAAGATTGCAGAAATTGGTCACTACTGCAATTTTAGATAAAAGAGACCTGTTTGAACATGTGACCCCCATTTGGTCTCTTGACAAATCTATATGATAGCACCATTTTTTAATCTGAAATGGACTCTTGTGTGAAATAAAACCGCTACTCTCTGATTGTTTTAACTATCCCAGGTGACATTTTGATGAATGTATTTTGTAGAAACTTTATTTAACCATGCTTTTTCTTTGATCTAAAAGGGAAAAAACAAAGGTATTCTAGCTCCTCCGTGGGAGAATAGACAAAGCTGTCTGCTCCTTTAAAGATTGTTGCATGCTGTTCTGCTGTATCCTGTATGGTTGCTGTGGGTCTGTATCAACTCCATAGCACTTAACAGCAACAACAGGAAAAGACAGCCAAGACAGTAGCATTTTTTTGCTTACTGAATTAATATCTAATCAAATCAGTGTTCACAAATAAGAATTGAGAAAAATTAAGAAGATAAATCAACATTTCATGATTTTTTTTATGTCACCATGTAACAAAAGCTTTATTAACATTTTAAGCAATTTGTGCTATTACTGAAACGTATAATTTCTAAACTTGAATTGAGGGAAAAAGCTAAAATGTAGAATAATGCCATCATTGGGCACTTCTAATGCAAGACTGAAGAATAACTAACAGCTACCCCTCAGATGAAGTCAGGTGCAGAGTTGACTCTGGATGTTGTAGTCAAGAGTGTGGCTATCTCCCAGCTGCTTGCCTGTCAGGTGGATGTCCACCGTATTCTGAATCTTGGCCTTCACGTTTTCGATGGTATCACTAGGCTCCCCTCCAGAATGATGGTCTTGCCAGTTAGGGTCTTTACAAAGATTGGCATTTTGACCTGCTGGCCCGAAAAATGACCTATTTGCATGAAATAATGCAAATCACATAGAACAGTGCCTCACACGGAAGAATACTCAGTGCTAGTCACTTCTACACATTTTGTGATCTTTTAAAGTGTAATCTAGCTAACCCTATAAATACAGCATTGGGATTAATCCAGAATAGCAAAAAAAAAATCTGATGGAAAACTTTTCTGGCATCTTTTGATTGAAGCTCTGGAATGATAGGGATTCTAGAAGCATGCAGAGGTCAGTTATCAGAAGGAACACTTCAGTTTTATTGAAGGTCAGGGTCAGAGTTTGTGTTCTCATTGGATATTTTAGTCCTAACTAATCATTTTTAGATGGAATACTTATAAAAATTCTTGGAAAAGAATATGGAGAAGGGAGCTCTAGTGGGTTAGTGATAAAAAGCTGTGCTACCAATCCAAAGGTGAGCAGTTTGAATCCACCAGTTGCTCCATGGGAAAAAATGGACAATCTTCTCACATGCAGTTTACTGCTTCTGAAAACTTGCTGGAGAGTCAGCTATGAGTTGGTTCCAATTCAACAGAACATAATAACATCATAGAGGGGGAAAGACTGTATGGGGCTAGAATAAAAACTTTCTTCTTTGTAAAGACAGTGAAAAGCTATCAAACATATTTTGAGGAAAGAAGAAATAGACACTCACCATTTTCAAAGAGACCATATGATGCATATAGCTTTTCTCAACATTATTTAAAGTTGTGGTAAAATAAAATTGGTTTTATGTAAATGCCCAAAACCTAAAAAAAATTAAGAGGGCTAGTCTTTGTTTTTTTAAATTTACATATCACATATATACATTGAATGCTTTTGAATACACGATGCATTAATAAAACCAATTCCACTACTCATATGCAACAATCACTTAATACCTATTGCCGAATTTCTCATCTTACATGGAAGTGCAACCTTTTTTCCCCCTTTTTAAAAAATTAATTTTAATGAAAGCTTACAGAGACTGTGGATTTCCATTGTTGCACACTTTCCTCCCTGCCCACCCCTCCCTGCCAGTTCACTCTTCTCTTTGAAAAGTGAAAAAAAAAATCCTTCGTTGTTATACAATCCTCTTCTCCACCCCTACCCCCCGCCCCCCAGTCCACTCCGTTATGCAGCCTTCATTCTGGACTCCTGCCGTAACAATAATACCTAATCATAGATCCCTTTTAAACAGTTCTCTCCTTATCTGTTTCAATGCAGTATACATTATTTATCCTCTTTTTTCTTAGTTTCTCCCCAACCCCAATTTCAGTTCCACTTTACAACAGTGGCGTTATGCAGTATTTGTCCTTTTGTGACCGAGATATTTCAGCATAATCTTAATGTCCTCCAGGGTCTAATGAGCATACTATCCTCCAGGGTCACCCATTTTGTATAATATTTCATAAGTTCCTTGTTTTTCAACACAGCCTACTAGTCCATTGTGTGAATATACCAGAGCTTCTCTATCCATTTGTTTGTTGATGGGCACTTAGGTTGCTTCCAACTCCTAGCTATTGTGAACAAAGCAGCAATAAACATGGGTGTGGGTATATCTGCTTGGGTGGCTGTTAAGGTTTCTTTAGGGTATATTCCCAGTGGAATTGCTGGATCAAATGGTATTTCTGTTTGCAACTTTTTTAGAAAGCACCATACTGCCTTCTGTAGTGGTTGCACTATTTTACACTCCTTATTCACCAACAGTGAACAAGGGTTCCAGTTTCTCTGCAACTGTGCCAGCATTTGTTGTTTGCTGTTCTGTTAAATTTGGCTATTTTTACTGGGGTAAGATGATATCTCATAGTTGTTTTGGAAATGCAACCTTTTAAAAAAAAAAATTGAAAAAGTTACAAAGCCAATCATTATTCAAATAACTTTAAAAAGTTGGTAAGCAGCAAAACCAACCCACTTGCTATCATTATCTGTTCTAACCCTTAGGAGTCACATATATGTCAAAATCGAACAGTGCTCCATGGTGTGTTCAGTGGCTGACTGGAAGTAGATTGTGGGACTTTCTGTACAAAGCACTTCTAGGAGAACCTGAATTTCTAGCCTTTTGATTAGTAGCCAAGTACATGAGTCATTTGCATCACTCAGGAAATTAAAAAAAACAATGAGATACATTTCAGTGATTTTTTTTAGTACATTCAGATTTATTGCAGTCATCAGAATTTTCAAACATGTTAATCACATCCAAAGCACCAGTACACATTAGCAGTCACTCTCATTTTCTTCCAAACCCTTCTCAACTCCTTACACCCAGGCAACCAGCAATCTGCTTTGTCTATAAGGATTTTCCGATTCTGTATATTTAATATAAATGGAATGTTAACAGTAAATAGAGTTTTGTAACTGGTGTCTTTCATTTAGCATGTTTTCATGGTTCTGCCATGTTGTAGCATGTTTCACAGTGACTGTTGTCAATATTTCACTATATGGAATGGAAAGCATGATGCTTTATCCATTTACGTGTTAGCCATTTGAGTGTTTTTGCTTTATAACTCTTATGAAAAATGCTGCTATAAACATTTATGAACAGACTTTTTTAGTGGACATATTTTAATTCTTTTGAATATCTACCTAGAAGTAAATCTCTTGGGTAATATCATAACTCTGTGGTTAACATTTTGAGCTTCCCACAGTGACTGCATTATTTGCATTCCCACCAGTAACCTATGAGTTTTCCATTCTCTCCACATCTTCACCAACACTTGTTTTTAGCTGTCTTTTTTATTATAGCCATCTTGTGGCATAGTGCATAAAGTATTGTGCTGCTAGCTGAAAGTTTGACAATTCAAATGTACCAGCTGCTTCTTGAGAGAAACAGAGACAGTCTCCTCCTTTAAAGACAGCCTCAGTATCCAGAAGGAGGGTCACTGTGAGTCAGAAGCAACTCAGTTCATCCATGAGGAGCTTTCTCTGGTGGTGGTGTCTGTAAGGGAGTTGCATTGCTCACCCAAATCTTGGTCTCATGATCCTCAATTTCACCCTCTTGTCAAGTTGGTCTCTCATGTTTACAAGTGCCAGTGTTTTTTTTAGGTAAAGACTGCAAAAAGTATTGTTCCTTGATTGTTTTTGTTTTCCTGTGTATCCCGTTTCTGATGTGTTCTTGAAATTCCACTTGGCTTTCACTTCTTACTCCTCTCTTTGCCTTTTAGAGATTATAATGAGAAGAAACTTCAAGATAATATTCAGTGTGAAATTTTCCAGATTCTTTATGAAGAAGCCATGGCGTCCTACAAGGAAGAAATAGTACACCAGCTGGCTAGCAATAAACCAGAAGATCTAGAGGATAATGTAAATCAGATCTTGAAATGGATTGAACAATGGCAGAAAGATAATAATGCGTCACTTACCACAACAGACATGCTTACTGATAGCTCTGTGCCCACATCATAGAATTACACATTTATCAGTATTTCATATTAAAATTGTATCCCAAAGCTAGCATGTGGAGTGTAAGAGCATAGACTGTTTTTTTTTTCTCCATGAGAAAGCTCTATGATAACATATAATGACTAAAACATAATTTAAGATTGAGAGCAACGATTGCCATAATTTTAATGTATGAATTCTTAGAGGATACAGAAACCTGAGTGGGTGGACATCTGTAAAACACAACCTGGTCTCTTAAAATAAAAGACTTGAAAAAAAGCATCACTTTGAATTTTTTTTTAAATAAAAGTGATAATAATTGCACTTCATACAAAATTCACAGCAGGACACCCTCTCTACTAGCTACCCCAGATCCTCTCCCTTTTGGAAGTGTGTGTAAGTGACAAAGTTTCACCATCCTTGCTTCTAAGGATGCATATCCTTAAAGACAGATTTGGTTATTCTTTAGCAGTCTATGCAACATTATTCTTAATTATAATTCACAGACCATAAAATCTTAACCATTTTAAAAGTGTACAATGCACTGATTATTAAAATATTCACAAGGGCATGCAATCATCAGCATCTAATTCCAGAATATCTTCATCACTCCAAAAGAATTCTCATTAGCAGTAATCAAGAAGTTCTGTAGTTAATGTGCTAGGTCAAATTGTCATTAGTTAAAAGGCAAAAGGCAGAACAGTATCTTGTTTTAAGTTTCTGAAGATTTCTCTATCAAGAGAACATCTAGAAGGAAAAAAGTAAAAATTGATGGTGCTTTGAGTTTTCACTGCACATTTTTGTATTATTTTAGGGTTTTTTTTCTATTTAGAAATTTTACACTTTAAAAACTAGTTTAGGAACAGTACTAGATCTAAGGAGGAAAAAAGTTGTTTCTATAAGGAATTATATTTTTGGGGCCCAGTCACCTTTCTGACAGCATCCCTTTGGGAGACTGGGTGGCCTGGTGAGGGAGTAGAGTTGTCCTAACCCAAATCAGATGGTTCAAATTCACCAATTCTTCCAAGGAAGAAAGGCGGAAATCTTCCATGTGACTTACAACCTCCAAAAACTCAACTAGAGGGTCAGAGATGAGAGTCGGCTCTGCCTACTGCAGTGAATTGAGAATTCTTGCACTTAACACCAAAACATTTCACCAGTGTTAGGTGCCATCAAGTCGGCCCTAACAGTAAATGTGAACCTTGCCCTATCGTGAACCATGCTTATCTCTATGTCAGTTCATTTTGTTGAGGTCTTAATTCTCTCCTGCAACCAAGCCTCTGGTGCAGCTGTAACTTGGACCTAAAATACCCTTCTAATTTTTTTATAGTGAAGTCTTTTTTATCGTTTACCTGCACCTCTAAAACTCCCAACTCAGCTCCACCTCTCAATTGTACTCTGAAAGGGCCTTATGTTCCAGGATCATTTAATTCAACATTTTCGCATAGCCCATGTTGCTCTGTTTTTCCCAGTTGGAGCAAGGGAGGATGTGTATTAAGGTTATTCCTTATCTGGAAATTATGTGCTCTGGGGCTGGACCAGCAAACATCTCCACTCCACAGCCAATGAAGGTACGATCTGGGGCAAATGAGACACCATCTTATCCCAGTAGCAGTGGCAAAGTTTAGCAGGGCAGCAAATAAAAAATGTTGGAGAGGATTTGGAGAGAGAGGAACTCCTATACATTGTTGGTGGGATTGTGAAATGGTACAACCTCTCTGGGTAGGCAGTTTGGTTCTTTCTCAAAAAGTTGAAGAAATTCCATGTGATCCAACTAGTCCATTGTTTGGAATATACCCTGAGAAAATGAGAACTGAGGCACAAACATATTTGTACACCAGTGTTCAAAACAGCCCTATTCACCATTGCAAGAACATAGAAATAGCCCAAATGCTCAACCACAATGGAATGGCTGAGAAATTATGGTACATTAATAGATTGGAATACTATATAGCATGCAGGAGCAGTGATTTTGTGAATTACTACTTAACATGGGCGGGATTTCAGAGCATTATTCTGAGAGAACTCAAGTCTCATAAAGATAAATACTGTATAAGACCATTATTATAGAATGAGTACGAGGATCCCAAAGAGGGTAAAGTCTTAATCATAAAGTCTCACAATTTGATGGGTGGAGGGAGAGGTGGCTAGAGGAAAGAGCCGGTGTGAAAAACAATGTATACGAACTTAATGAAGTTTTTAAGGAAACCAGTATATTTTTTTAAAAAATAAAAGGTACGTGCTCAGGGAATGCGCGCCTAAGGACCAACGCCGTCCTGGGGCCTCTCCTGCCTTTCCGGTTCGCGCTGCGCTGCCTGGTCACGTGGCCCCAGAACGCGGCGGCGGTGGCGGCGGCGCGCGCGACGTGGAGGCTCTGCGCCTGGTGAGCGCGCTTAAGGGGGCGCCTGGCGGGCTGGAGGGCGGCGGGGAGGGCGCCGGAAGTCGTCCTGCTGAACCTCCCTGTGTTGAGTATTAGAGAGAGTACCCCAGACCCGACTTGACAAGTGGAAGCCATTAAATAGGGTGGCTCCAAGGGGTGATGCGTGGAAAACTCAGGTGGACAAGTTGGCACGATGGTTTCTTTTTCTCTGATCTAGATAATGTCTTTATTTGACACTGAGAGGAAGAAGAATTGAAAGGCTACCCATTGCCCACTTATTTTTTTTTCTTGTTAAAAACAGCCTTAAAAAGAGCGTGTTAAACGCAGTGTGCATTCTGTTTAGCGAGACTTCGTCTCACGTATTTTGAGTGTGTTAATAGGAAAGGCCAATCCCTGGAGAAATACATGCTTGGTTCTTCCCCCTCCAGGTAGAGGATGAACCAAAAAAAAAACCCCTCAATGAACTGGGTTGACACTAGCTGCAACCAGGGGCTCAAGCACAGTAGTAGCAAGAGGGAGGTTGTGGGAGGACCCGCACTGCGTGTTCTGTTGCACATAGGGTGGCTATGAGTTGGAAGCAACTCCATGGCCATCTCACAGCACCCAAGAACAGAAAAAGAACATCAGTGGACAAATTGGGAAGTGCTAAGTGTATGTAGTTTACTAGTGTGTACCGATGTTCATGCTTCAATTTTTATAAATGTACAGTACCCTAAATATGACTTGGAGAAAGTGCATCCAGGGTGCTCCTTAGAGGCAAGGATGGAAAAACGTCAACTGCCAAACTTGGGAATGTTGTTAGGAGGAGCCATTCTTGGGAAAAAGATGTCATGCTTGGAAAGGAGGGTCAGTAAAAGAGAGGAAGATCCGCAACAAGATGGATTGACACAGGACTCAGTGATTGAGCATGGGATTCAAAGTTTATTAGAAATGATGATCCACCAGATGCTCTGCTGGAAAAGGAGGGGTAGGTAATTTCTTCCTGTGCCAGTCAAATCGAATTCGATGGCACACAACAAGGAAAAAAAGAAATTATGAGTATAGCACAGGATAGGGCAAAGTTGAGATCCTTTCATAGGGTAGTAATGACTCATTGCCAATTCACTGACATTTAACAAAACAACTCTTACAAAATTAGAAGATTTTGTATGCTAAAGCTCTCTGCACTGTCTTTGTAACCTATCTGTAAATCTAAAGTTATTCTAAATCAAAAGGCCAAAACCAAGAAGCTCTGGTGGCAGTCCTTGGAGGTTAAAACTGCTGGGCAAAAAAGCCAAAACCATATATAAAAATAATATATATATTTTTTTAAAAAGCCAAAACCAAAAGTGTTACAGTCAACAGGCAATGGCCTCAAGTCCGGAAATCTTGAGTTAGTTCCTCTTTGCTGGACTGACAGGAATTGGATGCTGATGAATTTGTTTGCTCAGGTGGAGTTGCCAGGAAAAGTCACTAATGGGTGTGAATGCTTTTAGTCCAAGTTTCCTGGGCAGGGATCTGCTCTCTTTTCACTTTAGTCTATTAAATATTTAGAAACATGTTATACGCATTCAAAAGAGACACATACACTCTCCATTGGGAGGATTTACATGCTGACATATGCAATAAAAACTTCAGTTGGAATAAGTAATACACAATACAGAGCTAGATGGGCTCAAGAGGTAGGAGAAATCACATCTGGTTCAGGAGCATGAGAAAGGCTCCTGTCATGGAGGGAGTTTGTTCCAACTCACTGGGGTTTGAGACAAGGAAGCACTCCTGGGGTCAATAATAGCACCAACAAAGCCTGGAGATGACCAGGCTGAGAGGACTTGAGAGCAGGTATTCTCAGTCTCACTGTGGCAAAGAGTACATAGAGGAAGTCCCAACATGAATCAGAAAATAAAAGCAAGCCTTGGAAGAAATTAGGATGACACTAATTTTAATTATGTATGCTGTGGGAGCCCTAGAGTGTTTCAGGGCAATGGAGGGGCATCAAAGGATCCATGAATAATGAATTATGCATGCATCTATAAATACACCAAATAGGGAATGATTTACTTAGCCCAGAAATTGTAAAGAGTCAAGGGCAGTGAAGTTATCATGCAAAGAATATGGTTTTGGAAGATTTTTATGAAAGGTCCTCATAAATTGAAGACAGCTCGACTACAAAATTGATAGAACAGGACGACTAGGCAACTGAAAACCAAAGAGAAGAAAGAATAAAAAAAAATGCAAAATTGACTCTGGGTGGTTTGGAACATAGTTGATGCACTGTCAGAAATAGAGGACTCAAGAAAATACATGGACTGAGGGGCAGGGGGCTAAGGAGTTTATAAGTTTGCTGTCAAGGCTATCCACCTGGATATATGTTGTTGCTGTTTTTCTGTACTGTCGAATGGGATCAACTGGCACAGGAGGAGGCTGCCCCTCCTTCTCTAGTGAAGCATCGGGTGGACTTGAACTGTGTGCCTTTGGGATTGCAGCACAGCTTCTTGCCACTAGATCAGCAGAGCTCCCATATGTTGTTGTTGTTAGGTGCTCTTGAGTTGATTACTACTCGTAGCAACCTTAAGAACAAGAGATCTAAACCCTCTCCTATCCTGTGCCATCCTCACACTTCCTGACACATTAGAGCCCATTGTGGCTGTCACATTGTCAGTCC